CATAGTTCGTGTTCCTTGCGTATTAGCCCTAAAAAAGGGGGGAGGGGCGCGTCGAGAGAAGCACACGACCGCATGCCCCTTCCCTTCTGCGCGTTTTGCGCTTTTGCTCCCCCTGCGAGTTTTCCTTGCGTATTAACTTTTTTTGTCTGTTTGTGAGCCAAATTTGGCTCCCAAACTCCTAAAATTTCACACTATCACTCTTTAGAACTCACCATTGCAGCCCAAAAGTGCCAAAAATTGGCACTTTAGCCCTCCCATTGTAGATGGTCTTAGGGTTTGGCGAGTTCTAAATGCTTAAATGCCAATTTTGAGAAACTAAATATGTTCGTACATAACTTAAATACTGAAATGTAGATATTGACATGCTCAAACAATAACTCAAGTCGAAGCATGCATAATCAACACAATCATAAATCAAGCAGTGCACATACACTTCACGTAAAGCAAATACTTAAACATGTAAGGCGTAGAATTTACCCCCTTTACACTCACCTATCAAGTGTCGATACTTAAATTCGTTGGACGCAGAGTCCCTTACCTTGATCGCTTCCTTGATCCTATAAATCGAGATTAATTACCCTTAGTCGATATTCCGCAAAATTTTCCGTCCTCCTAGTTTAGTCCCAAAATTCTTTAAAAAGGGTCGTGCACCTGTTTAAATGATTTTCTCAAAAACTTGAATTTTCCCAAAAATTTCCAAGACTCAAATTCTTATTAATAACTCAAAATATCCTTTAAATAAATCTCAAAGACTCCAAAAAATATGTTACCTCTTCAAAACTTAAAATTATATCTTGAATAACAAATAACATAAGCCAAAATTATTAGGACTTTGCTACGGTGACATGCATGTCACGGTGACATGCACTTTTCGGTCGACCTCATATAAGATCAGGTCGACCTAATAAGTTGTTTCAGTGTACAAACAGTTTCATGGTGCCTACTTTGGAGATTCATATCTTACAATTGGTTAGATGGAAATTGGAGATTAAAGGCTTTTTTGAAGCTGAAGTGTCCCTCTACACATTAAAGTACTTGGGAGCTCAATAGAAAGTCCAGAAGACCATTTTTGAACCTGACCAAAAGGCTATATTCCAAAACTGGGAAACTACCTGAAAATGGCTAAGTCTGGCAACGTGTTTGTCAAGCCTACTTTGGAGCTCAATTTCACAAGCATGGATGTGAGTCAAGTCCAGGGGCCTTTACCACGTTAAATTACGTATTTTTTTATACAAATGAAAGACATTGAATGAAAGATTGAATATCTTTAAGGCTTCAAACAAAAGGCTCGAAGTTGCTACGAAGGCTGTTTTTCCGGCAGCTTGCTTGTGCTCGAAGTCTGCCAGGAAAACAGCCTTCGTAGCAACTTCGACCCTTTTGTTTGAAGCCTTAAAGATATCCAATCTTTCATCCAATTCCTTGAATTTGTATAAAAACATACCTAATTTAACGTGGTAGAGGCTCCTGGACTCGACTCGCATTCATGCTTCTCGAATTGAGCTCAAAAATAGGCTTCACAAACACGTTTCCAGACTTAGCCATTTCTAGGCAGTTTCCCAGTTTTGGCATAGCCTTTTGATGAGGTAAAAAATGGTCTTCTGGACTTCCTATCGAGCTCTCAATCACTTCAATATGTAGAGGGACACTCTAGCTTCAAAACAAGTCATTAGTCTTCAATTTCCATCTAGCCAATTGTATGATATGAATATCCAAAGTAGGCACCATGAACTGTTTTTACACTGAAACAACATATTAGGTCGACCGGATCCTAAATGAGGTCGACCGGATCCTATATGAGGTCGACCGAATTCTATATGAGGTCGACCTAATCCTAACTGAGGTCGACCGGAAAGTGCAAGTCACCCTGACATGCATGTCACCGTAGGCACACCCAAATTATTAACTAGAATATACACCTTTATTAACCTCTTCTTCCTATTTACTTGTAATATAAATCAATTTTATATCTATATTACCAACCTCTCAAGTTAAGGTTCTAAATTTTAGAACGTACTAACAGTGTTATAGTTTTTCAAAAAATTAAAAAAAACACATCAATAGTAATTTAATCAATTAAAACCAACATCTTATCAAATTTTAAAATTGTCAAGACGACTCTAAAACTCATTAAATATTTTTTGATAAACATACTAGTATCCCATTTCTATTAAAATTATCAAACATAACAAAACCACTCGAAATATATTTTATTTACTTAAAAATTCCTTTCTATCTATTTCTAAAATTATAAATAAAACTCTAAAAATTCCCAAATTAATACCAACTCCTTATAAGAATTTTATCTACTTAATAAAATTTCTATATCATGAAAATACGTACTGCACATAAAGAAACAATAATAACACCCTTGAGAAAAATACTCTTTTTGGCTGATTTTCAATGTTTTTAAGACAACAGGGACTAAACTGCTCGTACTGAAAATATAGGGGACTAATCTGGATATTTCTCAAAATTAACAACACAGTCCTTATATATTTCGAATATACAGATGGATACCTGAACTATTTGATTCACGTCCTAAGCTTTCGAGGCTCGTATCTTCCTCGTCCAACGTCGAAATTCAATTCCGTCGAAACCGGAATGTTCTTGAGATCGTACACTAGGCGATGGTACCAAGATTTTGGAGTTTGATTGAAGTTGACAACGTCGGTATCGCTGACGTATTTTTCCGACGAGCCTCCTATCCCTTCCCATCAAGACCAGCGGCGGAGCCACTCAAGGAGATGGGGGTGCTTGCAGCCCCCCTTGGAAGGGCACACCAAAAATCCAAGAATGTCATTTCTAACACACAATGCCTTTTGCATTAAACATGATTTGTGTGCTAGTATGGACAACAACAACAAAAAGTGTTATACATTGCCTTATAATATGAAATCGCTATCATTTTTCATTGTAAGCAACTTGTGTTGAACTGTTATATGTAATCGTACGGATATTTATTTTTAACCTGTACTTAATATTGATTATTATGTTATTGACTTTTTTCATTATAGTTAGACTTTTCTATTATTTGGTTTATTTTTTACGATATGAAACAACCTCTTGACCAATTTTCTGGCTCTGCCACTAGTCAAGACTACGACTCAAGAATACAACCTCTGGTTAGCTCACTAGTTGATTTGGACTAGAAGGGATCTATTGTGGAGTCCTTACCTTTGGTTAGCTCACTGAGTGAAAAAAAAAAAAAACGGCGGAGTGCGGGAGCTATTGCTGGTATTCCTTCTCATAGCCAGGATCAGTGGCGGACCCAGGATTCTCGTAAAGGTGTGTCGGTCGATAAATTAAATAAAATAATTAATAAATTTTTTATTTATATTTTACTGTGAAAGACAACGAGAAGTGGGATTGAAAGAGGTAAAGGGAACACTAGGTTTTTTTTATAAGATAGACAATAATAAAGAGCAGTAGTCCATATGCAACCGGACTCTCGATGAAAGAACATTTTTTGTCACTAGGTGGACAACTATGTGAAAGCTACAAGGATCAAGAAGACACGAAACTTATTTAGGTAGAGAGAAAAAGGAGAAAACTTCCTTACGATTTCCCCTGCCTAAGACCCAAGAGCAATAAATCATTGGGTCTAAATGCTTAAGCAATGGAAAGAACCCCAAATTTGTCATAAGTTAACTAAAATTTAAAATAAATAATATATATTTATGTATTTTGGGAATTTTATGACACTAATTTCATCATAGTGTAGTGAAGGTGTGTCGATTACAATTATTGAAGGTGTGTCGAAAGTCCTAAATTCTAAAAAATTATACCGACAAAATATGGGTCTCTCACAAAATATTAACACATGGGTCCGCCCCTGGTCGGCATGTTTTCAAAGTGGGAGGTTGCGGAAGCGAGGAATGACGCGGAGCTGTTGCTGCTTGTGAGGGGAAATAGAGGCGACAGGAGTGAGTTTCTTTCTTCTCACTATGATCTCATGAACCCAAAACTATATTTCAATAAGTTTTATCTAATATAATAATTTGTAAACCTTCTAAACATATTATTACTAGAATGACTAATCAAAATTTTTAAGAGTTTACTTATCAGCGGAAACAGGAGTAGCCAGCAGTTTGCAGGAGGAGTAGCCAGCTTTGTAAAGGAGGTCTTGAATGTACTTGCGTTGTGAAAGATGGAGGCCGGTGGACGTTGTCGCGACCTCAATACCCAGGAAATAAGTTAATGCACCCATGTCTCGAATAAAATAGATAAATTAGTAAAAAGAATAAACAAATATCAAGAAGAATAATAAATAGGCTAGCATATAATAATAAATATTAGAATATCTATTTAAACCCCCTAATTCAATTAGAAGCACCATTAGAAATAGTTAACATAGTTTCACCAAAAAAAAATAGTTAAAATATAACCTAATCGATCATCAATACATCAAAATAAAAAAAAAAGATAAATGGAACACAATCAGAAAGAATTCAACATATTTCACTAATTGAAAAAATTTGGAACGAAAAGAGATGAAAAGTAACCAAGTAATAAACAAAATATAAAAGTTACAACATTCGGTAAAAAATATAGAAAAGAAAATATGACTATAAAAGCTACAACATTCATGAAATAATTCAATTATTAGAACACATAATGATAATTGAAAATAATTATAATGATAATTGATTCTAAAATTTCTATTCAAAAATTGATTTGGTACAAGTATTCGAAAGAGTATTCTAACTAAACAATAAAAAATGATATTTTTTCATAAGTCCTAATAATTGTTTTACTATAAGAAAAGTAGAATGACAAATTATGAAATTTAGAAAACAAAATATTGCAAGAATATTCTGTCAACTTAAACAGAATGCACTTAATAATAAACTTAAATGGTACCGAGTGCACATATAATAAAATTCAATGGTACCCGACGCCCTATTCAAACTATCCAAATTCTCACATTTAAGTGGCACATATATTTTACCAAAAAATTTTACAGCGACAGAATAGTAATGCCCTTATTTCGAGCTCCTTACATACATGAAGCCCAAAGCGACCCAACGAAGCTGTGTCAATACCTCCGGCCCGAATTACCCAACCTCCCCATTTCAGCTTTCCACTCCTCCATTCCGTTGTTGTTGGAACTTGGAACTTGGAAGAGAAGAAGCTCACCAACTGCGAAAAATGGCAACTGCCCTGGCTCGAATCTCCCGGAAGGCCCTAGCGGTTTCTCTCTCTCAGCACCGCCAGCTCATCGTCCGTGCCGTCGCAACGGAGGCGGCATCGTTAAAAACGATCACTCCGTCGCCAGATCAAGTGAAATGGGATTACCGAGGTCAGCGGCAGATAATCCCGCTAGGCCAGTGGCTCCCCAAGATCGCCGTCGACGCCTACGTTGCACCAAACGTCGTCCTCGCCGGTCAGGTTAAGGTTTGCGATGGAGCATCTGTGTGGAATGGCTCGGTACTCCGGGGCGATCTCAACAAGATCACTGTCGGATTCTGCTCCAATGTTCAGGAGCGGTGTGTCCTTCATGCCGCCTGGAATTCTCCAACAGGTGTGTACATTTCTTCAGCATCATCTCCAAATTTTTCTTTGTGTTAGCACAGTTAGTCTTTCAATGGGCGAATTTCGTTGATGAATGTTATTCAGCTCCGCCTATTCTCCAAACGATTAGACTAGGGTATTCGGAGATTTTTGTCATCGATTATGGCAGTTATGCTTTATGCCCGATGTGCTACAATCTGTAGTTCACTGTGTTATCAAGTGAATGTAGTAGTACACATTGGCAGCCATTCAGCAGATTTGGAAGCTGGTTTATAGGTAGTAGGTTCCCTTTGTAGGGTAATAGAAAGAGCAAACCTTCTGTGGTTGCTACTAAGAGAACTGTAACTCAGTATGTCTTGTATAGGATATTCAATGTTATCAGATGGTTCCGATGTAGTACTACTAAGACTACATATAATCCTTGAAATGACTTGGTCGTTTGGTTTGTGTGGTAGATTTTCACAGAACTGATTTTTGTAAGGGTGTGGGAGAAGATGGAAGTGAAACAATTGGAGGAACTAGATTTGGTGTTGGAGGAGAATTGGTTTGTGAAGGTGGGGAAAATGAATGTGGCTGTGAAGATGAACTTTGGACAGGGTTTAAGGTAGGAGTATGTGTGTTGAAAAAAGGTAGTAGTAAAAGAGTCTCTATCTGGTAAGGATTGAGAGTAAAATGGTTGTGGTAGAGAAGGAACAACAGGTGCTGTACGTGTTTGATAGGAGAATATGTTTTCTTGAAATACCACATCTCTTGAGATGAAAATATTATGGTTGGTTAGATTGTATAACTTGTACCCTTTGGTACCAGTAGAATGTCCTAGGTGAACACAAGCTTGTACTCTAGGATCTAATTTGGTTATGACAGCTAGCATTGTGGAAGCATATGTTAAACAACCAAATATTCTTAAGATAAGAGAGATTTTGGTGTTTTATTGTAGAGCAAGTGAAATGGAGTTTTATTGTTTAGAAGTGGTGTAGGAGATCTATTAATGAGAGGTGCAGTATGCATTACTACAAAATGCCAAAAACAGCTGGGCAAAATAGCTTGAAAGAGTAATGTCCTCAAGACTGATAAGAGATGTTGAGGTTTTCTCTCAACAATACCATTTGGTTGAGAGGTATATACACCTGTAGTTTGATGTAATGTGCCCTGTGTATGAAAGAAATCAACCATCTGAAATTCAAGCCATTGTCTGTTCTAACAGTCTTAATAGTTTTGTTTTGTTAATCTGAGTAGCAATTAGAGCAAAGAAGTTGGTAATAATATAACCTTGTTTCAGATTTTTATTTCATAAGAAAAACCTAGGTATGCCTGGCATAATCATCAACTATAGTAAGAAAGTAATGATTACCATTTATTGATATAATATGAGCTCGTTCCCAGATATCAATTGTAAAAGATCAAAAGTAGTTGTAGTCTTAGTTGTACTAACGGGAAAAGGCCAACGCTTTTGTTTAGCCTTAAGACAAGCAGTGCAATGATAATTGGGAATAGTAGTTACATGACAATGTGTTCAATCAAGAATTTTTAGTTTGTTGGCAGGGAGATCTCTCATCCTGTAGTGCCATAGGCAGTGGTGAAGCCAACTTACTGGCTGGGGGAGCCATGGCCACCCCGGGAATTTAGAAATTTTTATATAATAGACTGAGCTGTAAATGAAAAAGATTTTCCTATAGTCGAGTTGGTTAAAGTTTGGATTATGTTGTAAAGGTCCCGTGTTTTATAATTTCCAGCCGTAATTTCATTTAGCTCATTTTTTTGTATATTAATTTTTTAGTGTATGACTAGAATCATAGTTTTGAGTTTTTTTTTTTCTCTGACAAAGTTCAAACTACTAAGTTTGATACCTCATTTGTAGTATAAGCCTACAATTATTCACTTTCCAGCACATCAATATAAGATGCAATATGTATGATGATTTTTGTTATTATTAACCTATACGTTGAACAAGATACATATAATTTTGGGTTAGCCTCTCTTGAAGGATTTTAATTATGTAAAGCACATGTGCATAGCAAAAATAAAGTTTTTCTTTGTTAACTTTCATTAAAAAAATTTGGCCACCCAAATTGAAAATCCTGGCTTCGCCCCTGGCCATAGGTCAAGCTTCTTTCTTCTATTGAGATGTAGGAAAAGCAGCAAATGACTGGTGACTGGAAGACAGTTGGTGTTTAATCTATTAGTGAAGCCTGGAGTAGGAAGAATGTATAATCCTTGTTGGAGATATAGTTGTAGTAATCATCCTCAAAGTTGGGAAGTCCTGAATAAAACAAAAAGATAAATGGAACCATAAGCATACGGATGGATCCTTTACCATTATGCTAACTGAGACTAACTTGAAAGTGAATTCTGGAACAAATAAGACATTTTCTGAGGTGAGTAATGCAGAATATTGAACTGTCCCTATAGCAGTGACAACCACCTTAGATCCATTTGGCATGTGCACATGTGTTGTTAATTAGATTGTATCGAGAAAAATATTAGAAAGCATATGTTATGATCAGTAGCTCCTGTATCAAGTATCCACTTATGCATAAGTGAAGTTTTACCCATTAGAGAAAAGATATATTTACCTGACTGAACAGGTGAGTTAGTCATGTGAGAGACGACTGAGTTAGCCCTTGGTAGGAGCTCATGAGTTCTTTGACTATCAATGTCACTAGAACAAGTAGATTGAGGTGTGTTCTGTGCAACATAGGCATCTTGGAATTGAACTGGATAATTATTAACATTGTATGCTGATGAGGAATTCATTTGAGTAGCAGTTTGCTGCTGCATGAATTGCATAATTTCTGATATTGATGTTGGAAGGTAGACCACTCAGCAGGATTGATAGTAATAGCAGGTTGAGTTGAATTACCATGCACAACTGAAATGCTGTTTGCTTGACGAGGCTGTTTCTTTTTCCTAGGCTGATAGCCAGGTGGGTAACTGTTTTTCTAGTAGCATACCTCAGTATGACCAAAGTACCCACAGAATGTACAAACAAGCCTCTTGCCTTGTTTCTTAAAGCTAGTACCAGCTCCCTGAACCCCTAAATTAGAACCAGCAGCGTTAGAGAAAAAAGCTAGTTGTCTGTACTAGCAGTACCAGGGTTAGGAGTCTTGGTAGACTGAGGTAACAGACCATTCTCGCGCTCATGTTGAACCATCATAGCGAACACCTTATTGAGTGGTGGAAGTGGATCTAAGAGCATGACAGTAGATCTTGGGCCATTGAAACTATCATTAAGATTCCTCAACAACCTGATCTTTTTATCATCCATATGGTTCTTTCTAAGAGGTGCTAAAATACAAGTACAGAGAACTCTACATTCACAATCAGGTATATAGCGATAATTCCCTAATTGATCCCACAAAGCACGTTGTTTGGAGAAGTATTGCGAAACACTGAGAGCACCTTGTTTCAGTGAGAAGATTGCTTCTTGAAGATCTGCAATACGGAAGGCATCATCCTAAGAAAATTGCTCGTGAAGTTCAATTCAAGCGCCAAGAGTAGTGATCATGTAGAGAAGACCCTCAGCAATCGATGGATTCACAGAACGCTGAATCCAGCTGAGAAGAAGTTTGTTATTACGATTCCAGGGTTCATAAAGAGGCGATCCTTCACTCGAAGATGGAATCTTGCAATTCATGATCCATAATTTGTTCTTTCCATGAAGAACATATTCTATGAAATAACATAATAGTCCCTCAATCTTACTAACTAGAACGCATTCTATGAAAAACCTTCATATCGATCCTCTCTTCTCTAATAATCTGGTGGCGAAGTTTGAGAAACTTGGTTGGCAATTAGTTGAGAGCTGAAGAGTTTATGGTTTCAGTCAGTAGAATGGGTTTGGATTTGTCATTAGCCTTGTAATGAGCAGTATTTGTTGAGTTCTGAGGGTTTAAACTCTCCCAACCACTGGGCTCCTGATGAAAACCTTGTTCGAAAACTAGTCAGCAATATTCAGATCTTTGCAGGTACAACGGAAATCACGGTTTTGATGGGTGACAGTCTGCAGTAAATATATATATATCACTCTATCAGTGTATGCTGTGTGGCTGCACTTTTCGTTTTAGATCGCAATTGCATCTTACTGCTCGTGTTCAACCTCCCTGTGAAGTTGTTCCTCTGAATGTCTGGTCGATGTCAAAGTTACTTTCTCAATGCAGTATTTAAGTAGCTTAGAGTGCTTTCTTTCATGATATCCCAGCTCACATGCCTATTCTTACAGCGCTTTCAGTAAATGGAGTGTTAACTTTTTAGATTTACTGTCTCACTTCCTATTTTTTGCATGACAAAGCCCTAGAGTCTTAGAAGCACAGAGGTAGAGTGAGTGCATCACGGGTGTGATGCATGAACGACTAGGCAGCCAGATGATGTCTGCTGGTTGGTAGTGAGAGTTGGATCTATATCCCGTTCAATGGATTGAGATATTTCTTATATGTTTCTCCCTGCGGGAAGCATTAGCACCTCAGCTCAATACGCATAGAAGTACAGTATACCTCTATTTAGCTCTACTGGCTTTCTTATACCTATACATGGAACCCGAGCCTGCTAGGAAGCCTTTCACTCTTTTAGATCGGCAATCTCAGATCTTCACTTCCTATGCCCTGAAACAGACTTTTCAACTCCCCTCTTAAAGCCTTTCTTAGCTTTATGGCTGATAGCATGACCTTGGTCTTCTTGGTCCCTTGTATCAGAGGAAGGTGAAGAATTAGTTTGCGATTTGAATTACACTTGCTAACTGCTTCTAAGTTGGAAATGAATTGGCTTTGTTAAGTGGATACCAATCATACTTGCAAGGTAGATGTCTTACAATTGGCTGCCTTGTCTGGAAATTTCTCATTGTGTTTGCAAATCTAACTGTTTCTTTGTTCTAAATAAGTAGGACATTAGTAGATCTTTCAGCAGTTGCATCGTAAATTTGTGCATGGATGTCTTTGTTTCGCCTCTTAAGAATATCATCTGATGTTTTCAATTCAGGAATCGACGACTTGCAAATGCTGAGATCTGCTTTGCTGATTAGTTAATGATGCTACTTTGATGTCACAGGACTGCCGGCGGAGACATCAATTGATAGATATGTAACTGTGGGGGCATACTGTCTCTTGAGATCATGTACAATTGAGCCAGAATGCATCATTGGGCAGCATTCTATCCTCATGGAAGGCTCTTTGGTGGAGACTCACTCCATTCTTGAAGCGGGCTCGGTTGTTCCCCCGGGGAGGAGAATTCCGACCGGGGAACTTTGGGCTGGAAATCCGGCAAGGTTTGTCCGGACTTTGACTCACGAAGAGACGCTGGAAATTCCTAAGCTCGCTGTGGCAATCAACGATCTAAGCAATAGCTATTTCTCAGAGTTTCTGCCCTACTCCACTGTTTACTTAGAGGTCGAGAAGCTGAAGAAGAAGTTGGGAATCTCTATCTGAAGATTGATTCACTCTGGCTTGTCATGCTCTCCTTTTTTGTATCCCAGTTAGCTCGGGGTTGTCTTTGCTTGGAAATAAAGAGCTCTTGAACGCAACTGGTGGCTCTTGATTTGTATTCCTTTTTTTTTTTCGTCCCAAAGATTGGTAGGTTTGAACTTTTCACCAATGGATTGGGAGGACATCTGAATATATGTGCTATATCATTTAAGAAGTCGCAACTGTAACAAATCATTTAGTCCCAGTTAACAGTTGTAGTTAGCTGTCGTTAAAAGTTTTATCCAAATTTATTGCTAGTGGAGTTGACCTATGGTTGCTCAGCACGTACACGATGACTCGCCTGCCATTTGTGCTATAAATTCTTCTGCCCACAGTTTAGTCCATTCATATCCTAATGAAAGATGGGTCATAGAAAAAGAAAGCGAATAGGAACTTGGGGAGTTAGAATTGAAGAGCAAAACTAGAATATTTATATTCTCCATATGTGCCGTGTAAGTCACCAAGGATGTACCTTGTAACAATTGATCAAAACCGTTAGTGATGAATTTGGATATGTTTGATACAAAAGGGTTATAAATGGATTACAATGCTCTACATTGTTAGAAATCATTACATGTGGACGAGTGGTACGAGCATGGATTCGGTACTCATATTGATCAAAGTAACGCAGCTACGAACAAAAATAAAAGATAAGGATAGAGTGGAATTGAAGTGCAATCTCACATCTATGAGAGTGCTCTATCAATATAAGGGTAGAATCTCGACCAAAAGTAAGGGGAAAACTCGAATGATACAAAGAACAATTCACAAGCAAAACGCTCAATGAGCCAAGATAAAATCAATATTCTTCAAAATCTGACCTAAAACTCGTGTTTAAGTCTTTATATAGTATAGGACAACCAAATTCATCCAAATACATAAAAGAAAAAAAAAAATCCTAAGTCGACAAGTAAACTAACTCGTCAGACTCCCGATCCCCGTGTTGGATCTCCGAATCCCTTGACGGGAAAAACATGATTTACCCCGGGGAATAGCCCCGGTTAAAATCCCCGGGAGGGGATTTTTATATTCACCCATGAGATTTTGGCCCCGTCCACCTTCTTGCTCCCGCGTGGCATGCCCTTCTTCTTGCTTTGATTTGGGTAATTCTGGAGGCTATGGAGGCTCGCATCAGCCCATCTCCTTTAGAAAAGCTTTGCCCTCAACGCTGGAGTGTACTTGCAAGAGACAACATTTACAGAATTTCCAAATGGAATTATGCTTAGCGAAGTTAACATGTGCCTTCGAGCAAGAACATGAGTTCCACATTCGTCTTCCGACTTCGATCCACTTGCATTTCCTTTCTCTCTTGCCCAATTCAGCTCCATCAGTCGTTAATCATCTTGGACCTCATCTGGCGTCAATGGTTTGAGCAGGAACTTTCGATCGCCTTGCGTGAACCAGTAGCTATTCCGCCTTCTGTCTTGAGTAACTCCATGATCAAATTGTCACGAACGACCCAATAAGAGATGAATAACCTGCATTGGAGCAACATCAGCAGACTTCATCTGCATACTCACCAATCTGAAATAAAACCTTGGCCTTCTTGTTGACCTTGATGGCTCCATAGTCGTTCAACCAATGAAGGTTGTAAGGATATGGATGCTTAATAGTACTCAATCCTAGCTTCTTAACTGCATCAAAACTCACTAAATTGGTGCAACTACCACCAGCGATCACCACAGGAAACAAATTTCCATCCATTAGGCAGCAGGTATGAAATAGATTATCTCGTTGTTCTTGTTTAGCTAGAGATTCAAGGGAGAGCACCCTAAGATTAACTCCAAGAAACTTACCCGTTGGAGGAATATCATTAGTAATGTGCTCGTCAACTTCATCATCATCAAAATCGATTTCCTCCCCTATTGGCTTCTCTTCATCCTCTTCGTTTGAATAGTATTCTCCATCTCGCAGAACTAGAGCTGTCTTGTTGGGACACTAGTTTTCCTTGTGACTTCGTCCCAAGCACTCGAAGCATTGGATGCTTCTAGTTGATCCTTCATTGTTGGCTTGAATGACTAGGACAATGTTCCTAATAGTTGGTTTGTCACCTTCTTGCCTAGGGTGATTCATAATAATCTCAGGAATGCTCTTTGCAACATGTTTGGGTTGAGGTGAGTACATTCTCCCTGAATTCCCCTTCAACTGCTTCTCTACCTTAATGGCTAGGTGAACCACTTCTTCCAGCTCCACAAACAGACAAAGCTCAAATTCGTGCCTAATCTCTCTGTTGAGGCCATGTAGGAAGCACAAAAATTGTAGCTTTCTTATCTTCCTTACATCTGCCTCATCAAGAGAAGTTCAAGCTCCCGCAAATACTCTTCATCAAATCGTGCTCCTTGCCGAATCCCCTGCAAAGAATCAAACAGTTCTCTTTGATAGTACCCTGGCACGAACCTGTCTTTCATGAGCCCTCTCAATTTAGTCCAAGTTGTCACACTCGGCTGCAGATTCCTTCTTCTCTTGAGTTGTACCTGCTCCCACCATACAGCTACATAGTCAGTGAATTCATATATGGCTAGGTATACCTTTTGTTGCTCGTTGTAGTTACAACATTGGAAGAACATGACGATCTTCCTCTCTTAATCCAGGTATGCAGAAGCATTGAGAGATCCTTGAAGCGAAGGATCTGAAAACTTGATCCCTCGTATTTAAGCAATGGTACCTTCGCATTCCGCCTTGGTGGCTGACACGCTAAAACACAACACCTTACAATGGCCAAGTGTAACCAATGAAAGGGACTGCAGTATAGTGGCAAGTAATAAATATCGAATCCACAGGTCTCTAGAGTTACTATTACTCAGCTTCAGTTCATTATCTAGCAAACTAGATTAAGGATTGATTTATAAACTACTCTACTGACTACTCTACTAATTACAAGTTGGGAACTCACTTAGGTATGATTCCCCCTAGCTCCTCAATTAGGTCCAAGTTGCAATTACCTTTGGTTGATCTACTGTTGATTAAACTGCGGAAGATCCTAAATTAGCTTCGAATCTCTTAAGCTGACCAAGCCCTCTCAGACAGAATACCCGGCAGGCGACTAGCCATCAACGGGATGATAGACTGCTAAGGCGATTCACACAGATCTCCACTACTGGAATGAATTCCAGTACAAAGCAGTGAATTGATTGACTCTCGCACAACCAATTCACCACTATCAATCAAGGAAGCTCTCTTAACCTAATAAGATTCTATCTATCATAGGTTAAAGCAGAAATCAAGAGAATTTGATCAAGATTCAATTGACTCAATAAATCATGCCTCAGTCGATTATAATCAAACAATATAGCATCCAAAACTTCATACAAGAAAGATCCTAACACATGGAACTAGGGTTCCTCAAAACCTAAGTGAAGGGAAGTTACTCCATTGAGAAGAGAGAGACTGCAGAAATCTCATCTAGATCTTCAATCTCCATCTCCAAGCTTGATTCCCGTGCTCCAATGGCGAAGAAATCCTCCAAAATAGCTCCAAGAATGTTCCCAAATCGCTCTCTCTCTAGGGTTCGTCCCTTGGGTGTTTGGGATCCAAAACCCAGCTCTCCCCCTTTCCTTTTGCTGAAAATCGTGTTTTAACCAGCAACTCCCGACTCACACAGCCAGGCCACACGGCCGTGTGGCTTTCCCAGCTGCCCGTGTGAAGGCTCGGTGATTTCCACACGGCCACATGGCCAGGTCACACGGCCGTGTGGGTTGTGCCCGTGTGGCTTGCTCAGCCTCTGTTTAATGCTTCGTTTCTCCCTCGTCCGGACTCCGAATCAGTCGCCGTTTGATCTTAGACGCTCGTAGTCTCGTCCTCTTTCTTTTCATGACAAGCTTGCATGATTATTTGTCCATAATATGAGGTAGAAGTCCATTATTTCTCAGGTCATGCTCGTGTTTCTTCTCCCGAATTGCCAAATGATCTCTGATTGACTTGAAACTTGCGCCTATGCTTCAATTTACATGCTAGGACCTGAAATGTGACAAAGGAACACAAACTAGCGTAAAATAGGCCAATGACACGATAATTCAAGCTCAAACAATCAAGAAACAAAGGGTAAAACATGTGCAAATACCGAGTCATCAAATCCCCCCACACTTAACTGTTTGATTGTCCCCAAGCAAACCTAACTCAAACCATTGCTGCTCTCCAGAGCTCTATAGCAACATACAACCCTGATCGTCGGTAGAGGATTTCTCAGATCATATAGCAGCTTACGAGGTCAACTGGTCTTCTACGACGTTCCCTATCTCTCTCAATGCGAGTACTAGACTCAAGCCAGGATCATGAGAAAAAGTAGAAGTAAGACAGTCAGTTCATGGATAAAGGGACTCACACCATTCACAACCAAGGACTCGTTGTACCGGGGTGCTCTTTCACTTCATTTCACAGTTGGAACCCCTTTTTCTCACTTTCATTTACATTTTTTTCTTTTTTTTTTTCATTTGGTGGGGTTCCAACTGCAGTCTTTTGCACGGTCGACCCTTATTAGTCGAGCAAGAGCAATTTCTGTACATCTGGCGCTCGCCAGAGTACTTCTTTTAACTCCTTTTCCTCAACTCGTGTGGAGGGTCAATGAAATTAAGGGGGGTCGGAAGCTCTATCCGTGCCCTTAAAAACACATCCTCAAGTAGGCAAACCGTTCAACGGGTGGAAGTTTTACTTGTACTAGTGACATCTTAGCTTCACCTTGTAGGAGTACCCCACTAAGGATCACTAAAATCTCTTTCAAAACCCGATTTTTGTGCAATGAACGGTGCCACACACGTTGGGCTTACCCCATGTTTAAGATTTTAATGATTTCGACATGGAGGACCAACTGCTTTTCATTTTCCACATGAGCACCCTGTTCGATACACTAGTCCATAACACAATCCAAACAGAGTCCACATTACCACATGAATTCAATGGTCTTAGCTCCACTAATTCAAAAAATCAACTGGCACAGCAGAGAGCTAGATAGGAAAAATCTTATGCTCCTCCATAGTGCTACACTACCTCCCTAGGTTGCACATTACTATAGAGACTGTCAATTCAAAGCATACTGAGCAGACAATTTGCAAGGAAACACGTACTTGGAGCCCTCAAATTTAAAAATTTGGACAGTGGACTAGGCTCCAAGCACACAAACAGCCAAACATTCACCCGCATACATAATCGAACACCCCCCACACTTAAGCACGACATTGTCCTCAATGGAGGAAAGATAAGGAGGGTAGAACGAAGTTACCAGATCAAGGGTGAATGATGATGGATGGGGCAGGCGGTGCA